AAAGATACTGCTGAAGGTATTCCCTTCAGTAGCTATAGTTTACTTCTCTGTAAAGGAACGCTCGGTATGATGAGGGACACAGCATTGTGTCTATACCCAGTTCCTAGTGCTCTGTCGGTACACAAAGATGTATACCGGTGGGTTCCTGGCTCTCTGGATGTCCAGAGCACAGATTTGTCACAAGAGTTGACTGGTACAAGGCCTGTGATGATCTTCACAAGACGATCACCAATGATAATACTAGTGTGTCAAAACAAATTGATAGTTAAGTTTCCAGAGGTAAAATAGAAAGGAAGAATCAATTCTAAATGAAGATCTGCAAAGAAGTGGGCATGTTGCATGTGGTCATGTCATTGCAACAGTACTTCTCTGAGAATAGTGTTACCTGTATTTTACAGCATTTTCCCCAAGGCTACATAACTTATCACAATGGTCATGTCTGAGTCCAAGGGCCCTGCCACCTCACTGCCTCCACACCACAGAGATTATTGGTCCCATCTGCACACCCGGTTTCAGTTTTTCTACCTCTTGATATGACTAGACTCTCCTAGCTCTTGATATTACTAGACTCACCTCGATAAGGTAACAGAGCCCTGAATCTTCTGAATTCCCTTGGACTACCTAGCCATTCTTTTTGTCTGTGTTTTCTCTCCTTTACCTGGCCAAGTAGTATTTTTATAACCCTTTGTTTAACTCACTGTCTTTTATCAAGGTGATACCCCCCCCCATACATACCGATTAACATATGTACACAAGTTTACATATGCCACCAGGTGTCTCTTTAGATCTTCCCAATCCTGATTAACATGCTATCCAAGTTCACACATGCCACCCAGGTCAGAGAGATGTGGAAGTTGCTACATTCATAATGTCTCAAGTCCATCTTGCAGATCACTTAATCAATGATGCTGCCATCTTGGCTGGAGACCAAGCAAAGCTATTCAAGGATGGGAATGCCACCAAGTCAAGTAAAAAAATATGGCTTCCATATCCAAGGTAGGTAGGTACCCCGTACTGGGTTGGATTTTTTTTGTTTTGTTTTTGTTTTTATCAACCTGACACAAACCTAGACATATCTGGGAAAGACTTAATTGAGAAAATGCCTTCAGAAGACTAGCCTGCAAACAAGCCTGTGGGGTCCTGTCTTGGTTAATGATTGATATAAAATCAATCCATTGTTATGCCCATCCTGGGCAGGTGGTCCGGAGTTTAAGAAAGCAAACTGAGCAAGTCAGGAAGCAGTGCTCCTCCATTGCTTCTGCTTCAGTTCTGCCTGGAGTTCCCGCTCTGACTGACCTTAGTGACAGGATGTGACCTAGAGAAGGAAGATCACCAAACACTTTGCTCTCCATGTTGATTTTGCTCATGGTATTTTGTTACAACAACAGAGACCTAAAGACAGTATGTCTCTGTGACAATAAACAGATCCCAGGGAATGGCTTTGATTCCCAGAGTACTTCTGCAGAACAACTTGATGGGCTCAGCACCAGCATTGAAGAAATGACGCATCGCCTATTCTGGTCACATCCTGGCCACAAAATAGAAAACAAAAGCATTTTCCAAATGGGAATTTCCAAAGAGTAAGTTAACCAGGAGTAAGAATGTGACGAACAGATCCTTATGATTGAGCTGTTCCTTTTAACTTAAAACAGTGAATTATTAACCCAACATCATAAATGCTTCTTTTCAAATAACAAAAACAGCAGTCGTGTGAGGAGAGAAACCATATTTTTTAAGGAACAAAAGGAATGGTGTGAGGAAACACATATTGGTGGGAATGGAAATAAATACAATGTATGAGTATTCTGTGGCTACTGTAACAAATTTCTGTATTCTTGAGGCCTTAAAAAATGTATTATCAGCAGGGCATGGTGGTGAACACCTTTAATCTGAGACAGAAGCAGGTGGGTCTCTGTGAACTCCAGGCCAGCCTGGTCTAGAGAGCCAGTTCCAGGAAGGTGGCAGGAGGGCTGTGCCCTTGGCACCGTTTGGCTCTCCTGCATGTCCAGCTTTGAAAGGTTCCTGGTACTCCTTGGCTCAAAGCTCCCTTCTTCCATCTTCAAAGCCAACAATACCAAATCAAGTCTTGCTCATGCTGCCTTTGACTCTGTTCTTCACTTTATGGTCTTTATGGTTGGGCTGGAGTAAGGTTTAAAAGCAATTACTGCTCTCACAGAGGATGCATGTTTGATTCCTACCACCTATGCTGAGTGACTCACTGAGGCCTGACGCTCCAGAGAATCTGATATTTCTGGCCTCTGCTGGCACCTGCATACATGTGCATACACACACACACACACACACACACACAATTTTAAAATAAGATAAATCCTTTATAATCACATAGGGACCACTCAGAGGATCCAAGATAATTTCCCTAATTCAAGGCTGGTTAACAACTTCATTTTCACCTGAAATCTGAATATCCCCTCATTATATAAAATAACCTACTTTTAGTCTCCATGATCAGAATATGGACAGCTTTGGGCACCATTATTCTGTTTACAACATACAACTTCCCTAGAAGTGATTCGATAATATCTATCAAAATTTTTAACTTGGCTCAGTATTTCTGCTGCTAGGAATTTATCCTGTCGATATATTGTCACAAAGAAACCACAAGGATATATGTTAAGTCATTAAAATGATTTTTTAAATGAAAATTAACCAAATGTTTGTTAGGTAAAGTCATATTAAAGCTGACGGATATTAAACAGCATTAAAAACAGAGAATGAAGCCGAGCTGTTTTAACAGTAAACAATCTCTAAAAAGAAAATAAGTGTGTGGTGCAGAAAATAAATTGAATACACTGCCATTTCGAAGAGAATGAAAATACAATATGTATAATTATGCTTAGAGTGTTCCTGGGGGAGTGGGGAGGGTGGATCATGAGACTCTTAATAAAATATACCTTTGGAAAGAGCGTCAAATAGAGTAGGTGAAGGGAATCTTGCTTTCCATTTAATACTGTGAAGTGCCGTTAAATGCTATTTTCCCCATGATTTCTATTACTGAATCAAAAAGAAAACAAATTAAAACAATTTTTTAAAACTAGAAAGAATAGAAAAGAAGCTTGAAAACATTGGGAAATGCATGAGCCCTCACTTCAACTCCTGCGGCCACTGCCTATATATATTCCATGGCACAAAAACACCATCCAAATATGCCTGCCATGTCTACTTCCAGGGCAGGGGATTGTGGCCTGTGGTCCCCAGATGTTCCAGGAGTCACACCCCCTGAAATAGTGGGCAACCTTTCCTGCATACTCAGATGTGGTGTTCCAGAAGAAAGCCTGCTGCTCTTGTTTTCTGAGCTTCAAAGGGTTGCCAGCACATATACTAAAATCAGAATGATACAGAGAAGATTAGCATGGCCCCTGGGCAAGGATTCATGAAGTGGTCCATAAAAAAAAAAAAAAAAAAAAAAAAAAGGATTGTTAGTCACATCGGGCTATAGGACCACTGTTGAATGCTTGATGGGCTAACAACCTGTTAGTTCCTATGTGAAGTATGTGGAGTGGAGAGGCCACCTGGGTTGTCTGACAGGAGAGAGGCCTTCTCTAGTCCATCACGTTGATACCTTCTTATTAGAGCTGGATGACTGAAGGCAGCTATATGTCCTAATCAATGACTGAAAGACCTTTGAAGCACTGTCGCAATTCATTTCTTTATGTCTGGACTCTGGCGGCTGATTTGTTAGGTCCCTGCTGTCTTGTCTGCCAGTGAACTATCTTCTGGTAAGCATGAACAACACCAGAAGGCTGAGTTGTGAGAAATGCTTGCAGAGAGGGGGGAGGGGGGAGAGAACCAAATTCATGAGACAACCTGACAACCAGCAAGTCAGTAAGCAGCACCCTTCCATGGCCTCTGCATCAGCTCCTGCCTCCAGGGTCCTGTCCTGTTTGAGTTTCTGCTCTGAGCTCCTTCGATAATGAACAGTAATGGGTAGTTGTGTTCTTTGGATAGAAATGTCCTAGGCCTGGAGCAGAGAAAATTTTATGGAGAAAATGGGTTTCTCGTCATTAAAAATCTGGTATCTGATGATGATATTCAATGTTTTTGAGCTGAGTTTGAAAGAATCTGCAGAGAGGAGGTGAAACCACCAGGGATCGTTGTAATGAGACAGGTAACCATCACAAAACAGGGTTATATGCCAAGTGAGAGGGTAGTTATGAAGATTCTGGATTTCCAAGAAGAGGAGCTCTTTATACACTGCGCCCTCCCCTAGATTCTGAAATATAGGGTGTTTCACTGGACCCAATATTATGGCTCTGTATGGGATACTGATAAACTTCCAAATTCTGGACTTCCAGATTCTGGCATGTAGACGGCTCTCTTCTCCCGGCCCCCACATCTCTTGCCTCAGGATTTACACTATTTCCCCTTCGGATCCAGCAACCGAATTGTGCTTGGCCAGGCATGGTGCACACTGACAGAAACAACGGTTGTCTGGGTGTGCTCCCAGGCACCCACAAAGGCACTCTGAAGCCACACGACTACCCAAAGTGGGAGGGAGGAGTTAACAGAATGTACCATGGTATCAAGACTATGAGCCGAATAATACCCGGGTGTACGTGGCAATGGAGAAGGGCAACACAATTTTCTTCCGACCGCTGCTCATCCATGGATATGGTCGGAACAGAACTCAAGGATTCCATAAATCAATATCCTGCCACTTTGTCACCTCTGACTGCAAGTATATCAACATGAAGGGCACCGGTCAAAAAAACATCACCACAGGAGTTGTCGAGATAGCAGAGAAACAGTATGGATTCGGAAAAATCACTGACTTTAAGGATACTTGGGTGTTTCGATGCCAACTTGTGAAAGGAGAAAGAATAAACCTTTGAAACAGCCCTCAAGAATGAAGTATGGTGATGAGAGTCTGAGACAGGAGCATAGAGAGTTCAAAAGTGTAGCCTGGGCTACACAACAAGATGCTATCTCCTCCTCTTTCCCCCATAAACAGAATGAAAAGAATTGACGCGTCATTATAATTCTCTTAAAGAGAACATCAAAGCAAAGCAAGACATCTAAGAAAAAAAGTTTTTTTATTGAGATGTTATCTTTTTTATCACCTGTAAAGATCAAGACACATGTATTTGGAATGCATGAGTTTAATTAATGTGGTGCTATTGCTTTAATGGTGTGAAATATTATTTAAAAAAATAACCTGTGGTATAACTAATAAAGGTGACAGTATAAAAGAAAAAAAAGAAGAAGAAAAGGCCTGGAGGTTCCTTCAGGATTGAAATACAGCAGCTGGTTCATGAGAAGTGTCTACCTTCCTAGAAAACTGGTCTGCAGCTGCTGGGTCGTATTTGGTGTTTGCCACGAGCCTGAACTGCGGTAAATCCCTGTAGAGCTCCAGGTTGGGCAGCCTGGTAGGCCAGGTTGATGTTGGTGAACTGCCTCCACATCTGGTTTGACAAGGTCTCAAACAGGTGCTCTGCCTCCTCCCGCAGCTGGATGGACTTGGCGCGCATATTCTGAGCGTGTTTGATGTTATTATTGCTGAACTTGGCCCAGGTTTCAGGAACGGAGACCGTTTCGTCAAACTTCTCCATGCCATGGAAGAAGCTGATGAAGTCAGATGTGCTATTTAGGTTTAAACATCTCTCGTCAATAGACTGTGCAGAGCTCTTGTCTTCGATGTCCTGCTCTAGGACGTGTTGAGCATCTCGATTATCTTGCATCTGGAAATCAATTCGTTTAGCTAATTTTCTCATCTGATCTTGGCAACATTTTAGTAAATCTGCTTCCCGGATAAAGTTTTTCTCCATGTTATCATGGACCAAGTCAATCCCGATCCTTCTTTCCTGATTGTACAGAGTGTCCAGGGCCAGCTGCAGGGGGCAGTTCACCTCCTCAGCGGCGCACTCCAAGCGCCTCCTGAGGGTATTCAGGCTGTTGTTCTCCGCCATAAGCATGTCCCGCTCATGGCACAACCCGGACTTCCAGAAGCGGATGTCGGATAGCCTCTGGCCCAGGTTCCGGGAGGTTCCCTCTTGCATCTGGCGTAACAGCTGGTCCTTATCATGCATAATCCGCAGGGAGTCGTCTGTCAGCCGGCTGGCCCGGAGCCGCGATGCCTCCGCAACACTCATCAGAAGATCATTGGAGCGGTCCCATTCGCGTTGGGTATAGCGACTGAAGTGCGGGGGATTGAGCGAGGGCAGGGTAGTGGACGGCCGCAGGTCGCCTGCGCAATCCTCCGGGCTTTTCTGGGTGGCAGCGATATTGTAGAAGACTCTGGGTCTCCATGCAGTGCGGCACCGGGGCAGGTGAAAGGGTTGGAAGCAATCCTGTACCATAGGGTCCTGCCCAGTAGAGGGCGGCCACTGAAAGCCATAGTCTTTCTTGGAGCCACAATAACTCGCTGTCTGAATGGTTCCAAGAAATTCCATCTTTCCCCATCAACCCCACGCGGACAAAATTTTGTCCAAGGGATTCAGGGCTTCTCAGGAGCTAGGAACCCCGTGGCCTCTGTGACTCAGTGCTGGTGTCATAAAGCGCGGGAGAGGGTCTTTGTACCAATTCAACAATGATGAGTTTCTAGGACACTAATTTTGTTTGTTTTGGTACACAACCCCAGCCTTAAGATAGAAAAAACAAAACACCAAAACTATATCTTATGTCTATCCTTTCCCAACGTCTTTCTTTAAAACACTCTTTAACATTTCAGCTTTTGAATAGTTTAACATTTCAAGAAGATATTGTACCTTTCTTTTACTATGAATAAATGAACTGCACCTGCCTCTTCCCTTGGTTTTAATGAACCATAAACATGAAATTTATATCTTAAAAATGACTAAAATTGCATCCTTTGGGGAACTCCCCTAAAAGGATCAGGCTGTATCCACAAAACAGCTCTGATTACATCACTGTGGTAGTACTACATGCCTACCTGTATGATTCACAGGATGAATCTACAGGCATTTAGACGGAAAAGAATTGACATTGAGTTCAAATCAGGATATTGGGTACTGCATTGTCTAGTATAGTGGCTACATATGACTAAGTTAGCTAAAGCAAAACAAACAAACAAACAATAAAGTCTAGTTCCTCACTCGCTCCAGTCACATTCCTCTCGCTCAGTAACCACACTAATTAGCTAGTGACTATTACACAAACAGTTCAGAGACTCTTCCCGTCCTCAAACAGTGGTTTGGTGTGCAGTATTGCTCTAGACTTACTGCTCTTAGCGGAGATGTGGGGGTAAGCATGTTTTCATTAGATTTGCTTTGTTTCACAGTGTCAAGGGTAGACCCTAAGTCCTTGTTCTCTACCACTGAGCTACATGGCTAGCTGAGAAACATGCTAATGGCACCACAAAAAAAAGGGATCCTGTCAGTCACATACATGATGCTGAGCCTTCTACATGGCAACCGACAGACAATGGCATTGTAAGAACAAAGGAGGAGCTGGCAGTAACTGGTATAGATCCTAAAAATATAAATCACCAAATATTATAGATGAGGCAGTTTCACACCTAGATTTTAACAAACCAACTCCAACAGTGTTTGAGAATTGCAGGACATTTTTGTTATGCTTGGAGATTATATAATAGCCATTGGTTAATTTTGGTAGGTATGGAAGCTTTTGTGTCTGTGTGGGGCAAACACTAATTTCGTTTAGAGATGCATATTAAGGTGTTGTGTTACCTTTTTGTTACTGTGCAAACACGTGCCTGCCAAAAGCAATTCCAGAAAAGGTTTGACTCAGAGTATAAGAGTTGGGCCTATCAATGGTGGGCAAGTTGCGGAGGCAGGAGAGTGGAGTTATTGTTTGCTTTGTTGTGTCCACAGTCAGGAATTGAAAAGAGATGGATGTCATGGCTCTCCTTGCTCCAGAGCCTGTCAAGGCTGGAGATATCTCGGAGGTATAAATCCACTGGTAGCCAAGTTGACTTACCCGAAAGAAGCTGTAGGTTCCTCCTCAGTGGTTCATGGGATGGAGCCACCCACATCCAGTATGTGTCAATAAAGACTGAGAATTATATGTACATCGTGGTAAAATGGCATAATACTTAGATTTTACTCTCAAATATTTCAGGAAGCAAGTGTGGCAAAATCTTCACAATGACTGAGTTTGGGTGATGGAGATATGAGGTTTCTGTAGCTCTATGTATCTGTATGTTTAAAATATATACCTTCTAATCTGTAAGACGATTAAAGAAGAAATGCTACCACATGTTTACATGGGCCTCCTGACCTATAACAGCCCATTAAAAGGACTCTTGGTGACATCAGTCTGAAATCTTTCATATCAATCTTTCACTCATATAAAAGGAAAATATGGCTATATACTCAATGCAAATGCAGACAAGATAATTACCATAGGGTATAATTACTGTCTTGCAATTATTTCAGAAGGAATCTCATAGAAAGAGGATATAGCCCTGTACTGTAAGAACAGTGGTCTCATCAAATAAACAGCACATTTATCTATCCTTCATTGAAATGTATTTTGAAGGTTGGGGAGACAGTTCAAGTCAGTAAAGTATTTGCCAAAAAGCACAAGGATCTGAGTTCAATCCCAGAACCATATAAAGAAGCCTGCCATAGTGCATAGTGGCATGTGCTTACATTTCCAGCCACTGGAAGGTAAAGACAGGAGGATCTCCATGGTTGCCTACCAACTAGGCTCACTGAACTGGCAAGCTCCAGACCAATGAGATCTTGTCTCAGAAAGCAAAGTGAAGGTTCTAGAGGTATGATACCTGAAGAGTACCACACACACATATATGTGCCTATAAATACACATATACACACACATGCACAAGCAAAAGGCAAAATTTAAGCCTCAATATTTTGCTATTCTGAAAAATATGCAATTAACTCTCCTCACTCATTTTTCCTTGTGCCCTAAGACTGCTCATGAGAAAGCAGAATCATTAAGTTGTAAGTCTTCTTTATTTTTCAGAAAAGTTTCTAAGTAAGGGGTAAAAGTTAGAAGTTCATCTTAACCTTCAACAAAATGAAGGATTGCAATTAATTACAATGTCAGAAAAGATAATAGATTTACAAAAAACTAGTGGTCTCAAGCCAGAAAATGGTAGCACACAGCTTTAATTCCTGCACTTAGGAGGCAGAGGCAGGCAGATCTCTAAGTTCGAAGCCAGCCTGGTCTACAGAGTTCCAGGAAAGCTAGGGTTACACAGAGAAACCGTGTCTTGAAACAAACAAAGAACAGTAATCTCAATGGCCAAGCAGAACCTGGCAATTTGAATATTTCTTAAGAATACAGAGTTCTCAGCCAGAGCTATAAAAGAGACCTTGTCTCAAAAAAACAAAACAAACAACAAGAAAGACTACTCAGTTGTCCAGATCTCCCTCCCCTCCACCCCATCCCCCCAGTTTTGGGAATGCTTCCAAGGAAAGAGCAAATTAAAACCAGAAGGCTTTTTAACAACCTTGAAGCCATTTGGAATCTGAGCCTACACATGGGATCTATTTTATATAACTGCATTAGCATTTGTGAGGCAGACTAGGGCTATGCTCTGTCTTGAGCTGGACTCACTGGCATTTGTGAGCCCAATACTGACAGTGACAACACACACAGTGGCTGGGAATTTGTAGATGAATGTAGAGGGAATTTGTGAATTTCCCTCTGCAGTTGGAAAATCACTTCTTTCAGAAAAACTAGCTTGCTGACTAGCAGGTAAATCGCGGCATAAGTCAATCTGTACCAAGTATAAAGGAGTATGCTGAAGTTCCAAAACTTGATTTATTATTTCTTAAGTTTTTATGGCTAGTGAGATGACTCTGCGGGTCGAGCCACTTGCCACATGAACCTAGCAACTTGAGTTCAATCAATGGAACCTACTTCTGCAAAGGCGGAAGGCGAGAGCTCCTTTCACCTTTGATCGTCACACTTGCATATCTTGGCACACACACACACACACACATGCACACATGCACACACACATACGCAGAGAGAGAGAGAGAGAGAGAGAGAGAGGAATAATTTTAAAAATTACTAAGCCTAAGCACAAGATTTAAGCCGTACAGTCAGCAGCAGCGGCTCACAGTGAGACTTCTCATCTGTCACAGTTACCCCTTCATCATTTATGTTTTTAAATATGAAATGTCCCCCTGACAGGCACATGTGTTTAAACACCTGAAACACCAGTTGATTTCCCTGCTCTGGAAGCCTGTGAACATGTAACCTAACTAAGAGAAGTGGGTCCCTGGGAGAGGGCTCTGCAGGTTGTGTGCGTCTCTGGTTCCAGTCTAAGCCATCTGCTTCCTCTTCCGCCAAAATGTGAGGAGTCGCAGCGTCATGCGCCACCATCACGTGCTGGTTCAACATGATGATCTGCTGCCTCTGAAACTGAGCCAAAATAAACCCCTTCGCCCTTCAGTTGCTTCTGTTGGGTATTTTCTAACAGCAATAAAAACATACACCAGTCATCTGTCAACAACAGACGTCTTTATGTCCCTCTCCTGCCCTCTTCCATCTTTATTTAAGCCTGTTCCCATCCACCCTTTGTCATTCCCATTCATTTATTCGCTGTGTATGTACTCAACAGGCACAGAACTGAGAACTTACCGGTGTGGCTAAGTAAGAAGTGACCATGTGGAGCTTACATTCTCGTGAGAGGAGAAATAAAAACAGAAAAGATAGTACAGTGAACAGCAAGGAAAAAATATGCAAAGTGGTAAGATGTGGGGGTGGGGGGTGGGGGAGGGAGCGGGTCACAGGTTAGAAAGGGACTAAGAACCTAATTTAGACTCAGTGACTGGGCTCTCTAGGTGGATGACATCAGATCTATGAGAAGCAGAGTTGGGGTGGATGGCTTTACCTAGTGTTCACTATCTTTGCAAGTTTGGGAGCCTGTGCCTGTGACTCTTGTAGCTTTCTGAGTCTTAGAATGCCCCTCCTTTTTTGGAAGAAGGGAATGTTTGAATTCTAAGAGGAGAGCTCACATTTGGACATGTCAAATTTTAAATGTACATGGTACATTTAAATGATGGTGTCCATACTACAGATATACAATATGAGGCTGAAGTATGGGGTTTAAGGTCAAGGCTTAGATTCCAACTTGAAAATGTCAATACCCAGATGTTATTGAAAGCTACAGTAATTGACGAAATCCTTCCCCCACACAAAATCTGAGGATTTCTAACATCAACGAGAAGAGAAGGAAGTCAAGGAGAGCGTCTTAGCAGTGAACTCTACCTTGACAGAAAGCTGGTTTCGTTGCCAGGTGAAGTGGAATCTTAAGGATTCTTTGGAAAGTTGTTTGGATGGTGTTTTGCTGGGGCTGCTTGGTGAAGGGTGTTATGCTGACTTACAAGGACAAATCCAATCTCATGATGGTGTCATTGAACAATGTCGTGTTGCTGCTTTAAGAGCTTGGGATTTGGTTGAAGAACCTGCAGAAGAAATCTGCCTCATTTAC